TCAGCATCACTGCATGCTGGTCATATTCATAGGCTCCTGGCCATGCTACCTGCCCCTTCTCCCCTCAGCAGGATGAGTGGGGTGCATGCACCCTTACTTTTAAGATGCTGTCTATGCTGTGAATGTTTGAAATCCTTAGGGTGGGCATTGTCTGGAGCTCAAGGCTATAAACCCTGCTCAGGAAGCAGAGAATTACAGGGACAGTGATGTGCTGCCCTTTGCCATCAATGAAATTTTTATCAGCTGTATAGAAAAATATTAAATTATTCTTCCCACTAGTCTTCCCTTTGTTTTTCTGAGTCTGCTTGTCCCCCATTATGAACTTTTCATTCATTCCCAACTGGGCTTCTCCTGTTAAAGTGCTGTTCTCAGCCTGTGGGAAAGAGCTTACAAGAGGCATCCTGCAGCAGTCACCTGCCCCGGGGGCTGCCAGGACCCTGCAGGGATCCTGCTGCTGCATCCCAGTCTCTTTAACAGATTTCTATCCAATGCATTTTAGAGAGCCACCACTGAGCTGCTTTTAAGCACTAAAATCCAATGGCATTGACCCGTCATTTTCTTTGACTTGTGGAATCCTTTCATCATTAGTCTTCTTGAGTTTATTGCTCTGGGCTGATGAATAATTGTCCTCCCTCCTGCTAATAAACAGATGCAGCACCCTGGTGCACTGACCACTGCTGATTTCATTGGGTTGTTCTGCTGTTCTGTTGCTTCTGGGCTCCTTCCCATGGACTTATTCTAGGACATGCTGGGCCCTGGCTTTTCCCCAAAACACCTATTGGCGCACCTTTTCTCTGGCCCCATTACTCTGCTGCCATGGTTTCCTTGGGCTGCCTCCCCTTGCCCTGCTTTTGTCCATGGCTGAACATGTCTTCTTTATGACCTTTCTGAGTCTCAAATCTTTTTTTTTTTTTTTTTTTTTGTGGTGGTAATGGGGATTGAACCCAGGGCCTTCACACTGAACTAAATTTCCAGGCCTTTTTATGGTCTCAGACATGGTTTCATTAAGTCACCCAGGCTAAGTTCAAACTTGAGAGCCTCTGGCCTCAGCCTCCCAGAGTTCTGGGACTACAGGCATGAGCCCAGTGTGTACAGCTCAAGAGTCTTTTCTTTCACTGGTGCCCTGATGTGCTAGGGATCAAAGCTTGGGTTTCGTGCATGCTACACACATACAGTTTTAATTTCAAGGAACTTGTCAGCAAGATTTATCTTTATACTACTCGTTGCAGGTGGGTGGATATACTGAGCATGTGTGACTGCATTTATACCTCTTTCCTAACCAGCCTTCAGAATCCAGATTAAAGGCACTTGGACTGCAGTTATGACCACAGCAAATGCTCCTTGTTAGCTAAAATGTCACAATTGGGTAATACCTGGTACATCATTGCAGAGCTCACAGTCAAAGACATGCATGCTCCCAGCTCCACATGCTGTAGAGAGACTTCACTACTGACTATAGAAGGAGTGCTCAGTGATGTATTTTAGTTGGGCATTTTCTATGAAATTTAGCTATTTTGTTGGATAAAGGCTATACCTTGAAATCTGATGAAACCTATTTTTTATGTAAATTTCTTAGTTATAATCTAAAATGTGTGTTTTTCTTTTTTTCTTTTCTGTTTTTGTGGTACTGGAGTTAAACCCATAGAGTACAACACTATATCCCCAGACCTTTTCATGTTTTAATGGTCTTCCTATATTCTGTATTAATCTGTATTGTTTATGTAGATTCATGGGTTTCATTTTGACAGATTTGTACATGTACTTAACATACTTTAATCAATCTTTCTCTCCCTGACACCATTTTTTATTTTGAGATAAGCTCTCATTAAGTTGTCCATGCTGGTCTCAAATTTGTGATCCTCGTTCTTTAGCCTCCAGGGTGAGTACTGCAACCTACCTCACTCAGCTAAAATGTGTTTTTAAAATTGCTTCAAAAAGAAGCCATGCACAGCAGTACAGTCCTACAATCCCAGCATTCAAGAGGCTGAGACAGGAGGATTGCAGTGAGTTTGAAGTCAGTGGGGGCTACATATTGAGATCTTGTTTCAAAAAATAAACAGATTTCCTTTCAAAAGGTATTAAAATCCTCACAAATTTAGAAGGCGAAAAAACTTAGTTTTAATTTATTCAGGATTCAATTGAAATGCAAACTGTAGTTCAGGTTCCGTGGTTAGCAAGGTGTGAAAGATGTTTTTTTTATTATTTTTTTCCACAGTTCCATTTGACAGGATCAGACCCATGTGTCATAAACAATGCCCCACACAGTGTATTTTAGATTAGGTTTAAAAGTTACTGAAGAGCCAGGTGTGTTGGCACATACCTACAATGCTGAGCTCCTCAGAGGTAGTGGTGGGGGCACAACAACTTAGTGGGGTCCTGTCTCAACATAAATTTTTTAAAAGCCAGGGGACGTAGCATTATAGCATGTGCCTGGCATATGGGAGGCCCTGGCTTCAGTCTTAGAACAAAAAAGTCACTAAAGAATTTAATATAAAAGTTTTCTAAAGTAAAGAGCCTTGAGTCCTATTAAGTTGACATTATTGGATTTACTTCTATATTTAAATTTCTATGCAATTTATTTTTTAGAAATCCCCCACATTTTACATAAGAAACAACCTGTTTAGTAGAATTCAGTTTGATTTGTATTAGATTAAAAAGAATGTAATTAAATCAAGTTACAGTGTATAAGAAGCCTTGTTTGGTATTTCAGAAGAAAATTTTAAGTATTGAGCAAAACATTTATTGAAAATCTGTGTAGCTAATTGCATGGTGATTGGATTTTTATACTTTTATGTTTTTGCAGTGCTGGAGTTCAGACACAAGGCCCTGTGTAGGATAGGTGTGTGTTCTGCTACTGAGCCATACCTCACTCTTCATGCCATTTTAAGAGTTGGAAAGTGTATTTTCTGCTTGGATGTAAAGGAAATATTTTTTAAAAATTGTAATGATAGCAACTAACTTAGAACATTAAAAAAAAATGGTTAGTTGATCCTGGAAGTTGGAAATTTGTTCTTAAGTAAATGTTGTAGATATAAAAACCAGCCTCTAGAGCAGGGATATAGCTTAGTGACACAAGCATCTGCCTGGCAAGCACAAGGTCCTGAGTTTGAGTCCTAGTACCAAAAAAAAAAAAAAAAAAAAAATTAAAAACTAGCCTCTGGAAGGTAGTTAATTAATAATAGAATTTAGTTTTTTGGTACTGGAGATTAAACCCAAGGCCTTTGCACTGATTATATCTGGCCTCTCACCAAACTTTTATTTTGAGGTAGGATCTTATTATGTCCCTAAGTTACTGGGCTACTCATGTCTCTGCCTCAGCTCCCCAGAAAGATGGGATTACAGGCAAGTTCCACTATGCCTGGCTCATAAGAGATTTTAAACCATTTGCAAACATCATTGACATCATACAATTAGTTTTCTTGGTAACAGAGAGAATAAAGAAGTTTAACCAAGTCATCCAAGCCCACCATCCTTAAGTGTTGAAATATCCAGTATGTAAGGTCAGTAAGGCTGAACTCAAGAGGTATAAACAGAATCTCTAAAGATAGATACATAGCCAAGGTCAGGCATAAAAATCTCTTTGGTAAACACAGGATTCCTGCTGTGTTCATTTTCCTTTTTCCTTGGCAGAGATGACATTAGGATCTGAAGTGTTTTATGGTAATTGAACGCTATTCTCACTGACAGTTGGAAACAGCCTGATTAAAGTACTGCTTAAACTGATGTTACCAGAAGCCAGAGTCCTCAGTGGCTCGTGTGTATGTGTGTGTACCCTGCAGGTGTGTAGGGAGGTAGGGGGGCACACCTCTGATGATCTGAGAGGAAGGAAAGCATTACAGTACAGATCATGGGGGAGAATACAGAATTTCCCTGCATTTAAAAGCTAAAATATGGGCCAAGTTCTGGACACATGTTTATAATCTCAGCTACCTGGGAGACTGAGTCAGGGGTACAAGTTTGAAGCCAATCTGGGCAACTTAGTGAGATCCTGTCTCAATAAAAAGGAAAACATGAAGTTTCACAGATTCTTCTAGAAGTGGGCAGAAACCTCTATGCTCCTTAGCTGCAGTTGCTAAAAAACTGCTGCCTCACATACAGAACTCTAGCAGTATGGATAGAGTGTTATGTTTCTCGCTTACTGCACTTCAGATTGTGGTTTTGTGTAGGTTGCCAGATCCTGCAACTTGACTGTCTCCAAGGAGTCATAGGAACACATCAGTCAGACTGACTCTGATAGGAAAGGAAGATGAACAGAAGTGAAGGCTGGAGCTTGGATGCAGCTCTGGGGTGCAGTCACCTGGCACACTACCACCTGGCGTGTGTGAGGGTCTGAGTTCTATCCCTGGCACTGTAGAGCCAAACAGCTAACCAAAGCCAGCAAAGCCTATTGTTAAAAATCCCTTGTATTGTGATGAGACTAAACTTGACCAAGTAGCATATGACCTGGGATGACTTTCAGAGTTAGAGTTGCATCTAACACAAAATAAACCAGTCCTAGGAACGGGGTCTGAGTCCACTTACAAGAGGATAGTAGGGCAGTGGTGCAAGGGGCTGGGGGAGATTGTTCTTAAAAGGTACAGAGTTCCTCTCTTGCAAGATAAAAATCTGGAGATTACTTTCATAGCATTGTGGATATACTTGATATACTAATCTACATATGGATATATGGAGCTGTATGCTTCAAGGTAGCCAAGATTATTTTTAAAAATCACATTTTTAAAAAGTAGCCTGGCAAGTGCAAGGTCCTGAGTTCAATCCCTGGTATGGAAAAAAAAAAAAAAAAAAAAAAAAAAAAAAAGGAAAGTATTGCCAGGTAGTTTGCATGCCTCTCATTGCATTCTTTGTTCCATTTTTTTTACAGTGCTAGGAATGGCAGTCCTGAGCCGTGCACCCTGGCGTTCTCTTTTCTCTTTGTTTGAATGAAGCTTTGATACAGATGTTCTTTCTCATCAAGTTTTGTGTGGCTGTGTGCTTTTCCTATATCCTGTTGTGTTTTTTAGTAGGCACACAGGAGCAGCCGTCATGGGGGACCCCAGACTCCCCACGCTGCAGTTCGCTCCCTTCAGCAGTGCCCTGGACGTAGGCTTCTGGCATGAGCTGACACAGAAGAAACTGAGCGAGTACCGGCTGGATGAGGCTCCCAAGGACGTCAAGGGATACTACTACAATGGTGGGTGGTCATGGGCTGCCCTGTCCTCTTCTCCCGCAGTGCCAGCTTCCCCTTGTTTATTACAGTTATTGATTATTACAGAGCTGGGGATGGAAGCCGAGGCCCCACATAGTAGACCACAGCCAGCCATCTGTGCTCCTTTGGAAAGGGACACTGTTGTCCCTTCTGTGTAGTGCCCCTCTCTAGTTTCTCTTTCCCTACCAGCCTTTGGCACATGTTCATTTCTGAATTGCACTTTCCTTGTTGGAAAAAAGGGAGAGTGTGAGACATCCTAGTTACCAATCCAGATACTAAGCACTTAGCTTTGCTGGGGCAGGTGATCAATGACAATCCACTATCTCGGCACGTGTTTTAGGTTTCCAGCAAATCCCTCCAATTCATGAAATCCCTGTCTCCTTCTGCCACCACCTATACAGCACAGGTCTGCAGTAACAGGCACTTGAGGCTCAACACAGAGCCCATAACAAAAGTTGCTGCCTTGGGGCTCTGACCCATTACTGAAACTGCTAATGCTTTTCTCTAGGTGACTCTGCTGGACTGCCGGCTCGCTTGACGTTGGAGTTCAGCGCTTTTGACATGTGAGTGTTTACTTGTCTAAAATCTGAAATAAAGAACACTTTGCTTTTATGAGGAAGAAGCCATCTCGCCTCCTAAAAGGTGGGCCACTGTTAGCACTTTTGGAGTCTCCCATCCCCCATAGACAAGGGCTACCTGCTAGGGACTGTCTCAGGCTAGGTTCAGAGCATATTAGATGCTAGGTTCCAAATAGGTTGATTGGCACTTACATAGCTTTCTTCTTGACTCTGGTTGTAGTTTATTTTGTCTTATTTTATTTTTTATTTATTTTTTACGTATCTGGTACAGGGTCTCACTATGCAGCGCGGACTCAAAGTGATCCTACTGTTTTTTGCATCCCAAGCACTGGGATTATAGGCATGCTCCACCATGCCTGGTCTCAGTGGCCAGCTCAGCACCCCCGGGATATTTTATTTTTTGAGACAGGACCTCTATGTAGTTCAGGCTGGCCTTGAACTTGTGGTGACCTTTATGCCTCAGCCTCCCCAGTGCTGGATGACAGGTGTATACTACCATACCCAGCTTTGATTTTTAAAAAAGTTTTTTTTTTGTATTTTTGGTATAGAGTATACATGGTTTCACCACACAGATCGGACTCCTAGTGATTCTCCTGTTTTCAGCCTCCCAAGTGCTGGAATTATAGGTGGGTGCTGCCACACCCAGTCTTATTTGATGTCTCCTTGTGCCTTGGGGGCGGGGCTGGCATGGCGCGCTGGGGATTGAACCTCAGCTGTCATTTTTATCATTCTTTTTGGCACCTCTTGCCTTATTCCTGTAGTTGCTCATCCATGAGTGTGACTCTGAACTCTGCTAAGGCAGCTTCTGTGGCCAGGTTAATGTGCAAGGCATTATGCGGCAAATTCCAAAGATCTGGCTCGACATCCTGGAAGATCTGCTTTTCCACTCAGGAGTTATGGGGAGTTGCTTGGGTTAAGAGACATTTAGTGGGCCCCAAAGTAGCTGGACATTTTCACAAGCAACCTTTTTAGACACCAGGTAGGACTTTTTTCTGTTTTTTCAGACAGGGAGATGGTGTGTAGGTCAAAGACAAAAGGTGATACCTAGCTAAATTTAGAAAGCAGAGAGACAGAAGAGCAAAAATGAACTCAGAAGGATAGTTCTGAAACCCAGTCTAAGCAGCAAGGGGGTTTTGTTGTTTTCTACTGAAGCAAGGAATCTAGAGAAGGTACGATTTCAGGAGGAGATAAATTGCTCAGGCAGCAGCACAAGGGCTACTGCATGTGTTGACTGAGCCATCTGTGGTCCCAGCGAGCTCACTGTTTCAAACTTTTTTTACAAAAGGGTGACTGGCACGTTAGCCATGATCCGGGGCACTTGGAAGGTTCAAGAGTTAAAGGGCTAAGTGAGGCCACTTTTGTACCCTGGACCCTCAGCCCTGTCAAGATGAGGGATGTGGGAGACTTACAGAAGGAGGCTTTAAGGTGGTGGTAGTTGGTAGTCGGTGGCTAGTGTATTTCAGATAAATCATCCCTAGAATTTTGCTTGTTTGTTTATTATTTTTTTCAGTAAGGTCTTGCTACAAAGCTCAAGCTGGCTTTGAACTCAGAATCCTCTTGCCTCTGCCTTACAAGTGCTGGGATTGCAGAAATGTGCAATCATGCCTGGCTTCCCTAGAATTGTATGTATGTATGTATGTATGTATGTATGTATGTATGTATTTGGCAGAACCGGGGATTGAACTCAGGCCCCTGCACTTGCCAGGCAAGTGCTTATTCAACTGAGCCATCTCCCTGGCCCCTACTGTTTTTAAACATCTCAAGAAAAAAAAATGTATTTTATTCCTTTATCTCCATTAAATTGAAAAATTTAAAAGTGTAACCTAAGCCTGAAACAAGGCTTAGGTTATACTTTTATGTATCTTGAAAGTGTACATTGACATTTCTTTTTCCCTTTAGAGTTTTCTTGCTCCATCATAAATTCTTTGAGGTTACTTTGTTAAAACAGATTTTAATCCTAGTAATCTCCTTCCTATTTTGGCAAAGACTAGCTTATTCTTGGAGTAATTATAATGAGGAAAATACTGAAAATGTTGAAGCATTAAATTGTCTAAAGATGGTAGAAGGGAGAATGCAGCTGGCTGGCTTTTGTGCCATCTGAACAATCTTCTTTAACTTTAATTTTTATTAGTCCATGTTGGCAGCACATAGTGGTCACATTCCTCATGGGAGCTGGCAGTGTACATAATACATCTTTATCCTTGTTACGTCCCCTTCCCCGTCTGTGCCTCCCCCTGAGATCCTGAGTCAGTCTCAAACTGGCCTTGCTTCTATCCATCCCAATACGAGGCTGAAATTTTGTTTGTCCTTAAGATTTTAATAATTGTGTCTTTGGAATCCTATTTAGAAAAAGAGTAATGCACAGTAGTTAGGTCTGATCCTATTACAAAATTTAACATCTTCAATTTGTATTATCAAGAAAGTTCAGTAGAAAACCTGTGATCCTGTACACTGACGCCCCCCCCCCCCCAAGTGCTTGGTTTCCCTGGTCACTTGCCTTTCTTTAATGTCCCCTGTACCTGAGGCCTCATGACAGGTGGTGGGGGAAGCAGGAATAAGCACAGTGCCCATTACTATGAAAATGGTCTTGGGTTTGTAGTTTGAAGACCTGGTCCTTACAGCCAACTAACTGTGCTCCCTCCAGGATGTCTGGTTGGTTTTTTCTCAGTGTACTCTTCCTTGTCTCTAACAGACTCTGGGCTTCTAACACCCCTGGGTTTTTTTTTTTTTTTTTTTTTGGTAGCTGTTGCTGTTTGTTTGTTTGTTTTATTTTAAACAGAATTTTAAAAACAAAAATGATACAGAATTTCAAAATAAGGTGACAGGAAATTAACAACAGTTGTTATGTTTCCACTTTCTAAGTGTGCAGTTTTCTGAGTCCCTCTCTTGTAACATGGTAGGAAGTTTAATGAGAGTGTCCAGGTTATCGTCATATTCTTAATCTGTCTTCACTTGTGTTGCTGTAGATCTGTGTGGCTCTGTATGGAAAACGTGTATGGATTTATCTCTCAAACAATGAATGTCTGCAAAGGGCAAGATGTGTAGGTGTTAGAAATGCAAAGTCTGGAGAAACAGCTCCTGCAGCTCCAGTGGAGCCAAACAGCCACTCTATGAGCTGTGTACAGTAATAAATGTGGAGAAGTTATCGTTATTTTCAAAAGACTTCCTGATTGTGTTTTGGTAAGCAACTGTGCTGGCACTGGGCTGCGGAGAGGAAGGAAATACTATGGCGAGGTACAGCCCTCGCCCTCACTTGTGGGTGTAGGACGATCTCGCCTTTGCATTGCATGGACTAATCCCTGCTCTGAGTCCCTGGAGGTCTCAAGGACTTACAGCACAATCCTGTATCCACATCATCTATAGTAAGCTGCAGCTGAGGTCACATTGATCAGGCACACTATTTGCAGAGTGCAGTCTAAGACCCCACAGTGGAGGAGCCCATACACAGAAGTTTGTGTCTTGCTCATTGCACCTGCCAGGTGGATGGTCCAGTCTTCTTCATTATGTATGTGTTCCATTTCTGTTGATTAAGTGACAGTGGTAAAAAGAGTTTCCCTTTCTGTGGCCCTCACAAGATACTACGGTTTGGATCTCAGAGGTGCAGAGGCACAAGTGCTGCAGGCCTGGTCCCTGGGGAACAGGGAGCTGGGGCTCTAGGAATGTGACTGGGTCCTAGGGTTCTGACCTCAGTGGATGGATCCATCAGTAAGTTCCTGACTGAATGGACTGCTGGGAGAGGGTGGGAACTGTAGGGTACAGCCTGTTTGGAGGAAAAGGGTCCCTGGAGCGGGGATGTAGCTTGTCCCTGGGCACTCCTCTCTTTCTCTCTCTTCCCTTCTTCCTTTCTGTCTGTTCTCCCTGAGGAACAGAGCGGTGTTGCTCCAGCACATTCCCTGCCACACCTTGTCCCAGGCCCAGAACCAATGGAGCCAAGCAGCCATGGAACAAGCCCTCTGAATCTGGCATCCAGAGGAACCCTTTCCTCCTTGAAGCTGTTTTCCTCATGGTGATGAAAGGCTAACAAGGATGATAAACATTTGAATAAGGAACATTTCCCTGGACCCCTTTCCTTGAGGCTTATTCCTTTTTAGTCACAAGAAATGTCTTTTGTACCTAAGCCTCAAATGGACTTCAAGAAAGAGAGAGTGCATCAGTGTGGGCAGAGCAGAGGCTGTGTCTGTCTTGGGGCCCCTCTCTCACAGCACCTAGCAGGCCCTGCTGGTGCCAGTTGCCCATGTAGCTGCTGGAGTGAGGTGGAGCGGTCTCCCGCAGGCAGGGAACCTGTGAGTATGGAGTGAGGCTCCCCAGCCTCTGCTCTTCCTCTGGAGGACTTGTTCCCTTTTGGCCACCTGCCTGCCTGCTGGTTACATGAAAAAAGGCCCTGTGGAGGAACCCTGTGCTTCTTGAGTGACCACTGAGCATGAGTGAAATGAGGACCCAGGGTTTAGATTCCCCCAAGCTGACCCAGGCTTTGGACCTTTGTGAAATCCATCCTTCACCATTGCATTGGTTGGTCAGCTTTGAATTACTAGGTTGAAACACCTAGGGCAGCTAACTTTATAAATAGAAAAAGGTGCCTTACCTCACCTTTGGAAAGTTCAGAGGCCAAGATGGGGGCTTTGTTTGGCGTTTTGTGAAAGCAGTGGGTGGCAGCACATGGTGGTGAGAGTGTGTAGCAGCAAAAGGCCACATCTTAAACGGGACCAGAATGCAGGAGAGAGGGCAGAAGTAGACTCAGGCTTTTATAGGAGTCTACCCAGCAAGGCAGCACCCTGGGACCTCACTCTTGCTTGGAGGGGCTACTACCTCCGCTAGGGACGGCCTGATGACTGGGCCTCCAACATGTGGACCTTAGAGGAACAGTCAGCTGCCAAACCTTCATGCCAGTTGCTAAGGATCCACTGAGGGCCTCAGCACATGGGTGGATTTCCCATTCATATTCATGTGCACAGCTCTGTTGAGGCTTTATTTGCATACAGTGCAACTCAGCCATGGAAAAATGCATGCCAGCAGCTTTTAATATTCATGGAGTTTGCAACCATCACCACCATTGTAATTATAGAGCCTTTCCATCACTCCCCAGACCATCACTGCTCACCCCCTTTGAATTCCTACAGCCTTTGGCAACCAAGGAATCTACTTCCTGCCTCTAAGAACTTGTCTATTCTGGACATTTCATAAAAATAGAAACCAACTACTATATATCAGGACCAGGATTTAACTAAATTGTCTCATCCCCAATTTGGGGTCTTCCACTTCTATGATTGAATTTTTATTCATTGCCATGGCTTTTTCACCTGGTAGAAATTCATCTGTGAAAACTGCTTCTTTTTGGAGACTTCGGTGATGTCCCTCATTACCTCGTCTGAGTGCTGGGGATCTGAGAAGCCAACTTTGACTTCCTCCCTGGTCAGAGCCAGGCTTTGGCGTGGCTGCACACCCAGGACAGTTGGAAGTTTAGGAAGAAGAGTACTGGCTTCCTCTGTGCTTGCATCCAAGTTAGATCACTGCATCTTCCTTGTGACCCAGCATCCTGATTCAGCCTTGAGCTCAGAGAGCCACATATTTAGGGTGACCTGGCCTGCCTTTTTGCTTCCCTGCATGTTGCTGAACCCCATGGCTTCACCTTCTCCAGAGAGGGCCTTTGATGTCCTCCACTCACCTGGATGAACACTGTTCCTTACTGGAGGGGCATGGTGACAAACAATGACTGCTTGGCTGACTCACAGTTCCCAGGGGATGGCCCTGGCCATTCAGAGTCACACCCACCTCCACACACTTGGCATTTGACAGTGTCCTAGAACTCACTGTGGCCACTGTACCTGCTCCAGGTTTAGATTTCTTCTTTAGCCTCTGAGCCCAGTGTCATACAGAACCTGGTATGAAAGTCTCTGAGTGAGAGGACACTGGGTTGTTTCTACCATGTAGCTCTCATTGGCTTAATGAGTAACAGTGTATTCTGTTTACACTAGTTGCAAGTGACAATAAGCAGGTCACTGATAAAATGAGCATTTTCATTTCTGATCAGTGATCTCAGAAATGCAAGTTAATCACTTCAGAGAAGACAGTAGACCTGTCCATGTCTCGCTGGGTATTCAGAGTCAATTCATCCCCTCTCCTCCTGACTTCTCTGGGCCAGTCGACTGGGGGCCCTGTGGGGCCACACAGTGTGTGTATTAGCCTGTGAAGTGCCATAACCTGACAGGCAGCTCGGGCCAGGTGCATCTTGTCTATGTGGTTCTGATGACCCACATGGGCTTGCTTGGCTGCAGCAGCTGTGTGCTAAGCCCTGATAGGGTGGGCTGGGTTGTGGAATGAGTTGCCTCTTGGACCTTCCTGCCTTCTGGTCAGGTGTATGTGACTGTCATTCTTGAAAAAGCTCTTCCCTGTGTGCCAGATGTCACTGGGGAGGATGGAGGTGCTTCCTGGATGAGGAGGCTAGAATGGGGCCTTAATACCTAAGGCAAAGATTTGAAAAGGGCTTTGTGGTCAACTGGCTCTGGTTCCAGACTCCACTCTCCTCAGAATTGTGTGACCCTAGGCATGCTGTTTAAGCCTTTTAAATGAGAAAAAGAACTTCACAGTTCCTGGCTGGCATATTACTCTTAGGTTGAATCTAGGAAAACAATAAAAAGGAGGAAGGGCACTTCTATTTGGGAGGCAGTGGAAGAGGAGGGAGGCAGTCCACAGGTAAAGGTAAATGGATTCTTCAGGTTTTTTGTGGAATGGCCCCTGCATTGTGTTCTCTCAGTGGTGGGACTCAGCCTCTCTTGAGAGGTGGCAGCTAGCCTGCTGTCTGACCAGCTGAGTAATGTTGCTTTTTACCTGGGGTTCTGGTTTAGGTCTAAAATGCCCCATAAAAGTCTTGTATGTCCAGAGGTGGGTGTTTGGGGCCATGACTAGGTGATACGATGTTGTGCTCAGTACTGGCTGACTGTGCTGTTGGAATGTGGGGCCTGCCAGGAGAGGTAGGTCTCTAGGGTATGACCTGGAAATGATGTTCGTGTCCCAGCTCTTCTTTCCTCTGTTTCCTGACCAGTACATGGTGTGAGCAATTTCCCTCACACCAGGTCCTTCTACCATGCTCTTTGTGCCTTGGAGCCTGTCACCATGAATTGAACTCACTGAAACCATGAGCCCAGGTAAAGCTCTCCTTTGTTAAACTGCAGTGACTGGAGCAGACTAATATACCTGGGTGTGTCTATCACTCTTGGCTCATATAGAGTCGCTGTGCCTGGCTAACTGTATCTTTCATGTCTAGGAGTGCCCCCACACCTGTGCATTGCTGCCCTGCTGTTGGAACGCTGCACAACACCAACACACTCGAGGCTTTCAAGACTGCAGACAAGAAACTACTTCTGGAACAGGCAGCAGACGAGGTTAGCCAGGCAGCCCACATGTGTCTACTCCATTTCCCAGTGTCTTGGCAGTGTGCTATTTCTGATAAGGAGCCTGGATCTGTTGTGAAAAACAAGTATTTGTAGGTTTCTCTTTATTTCTCCAAAGAGAATGTGCCCTTCTCTCTTCTGTCTTTCCAGAGATCAGAAAAAACCCAGGCTCTGTGCTGGAGACAAGCTGGAGATGCATGTGAATGGAAAGGAGGTTTACTGTCTAACCTCACTGAGCACTTTGCAGCAGCTTGGCCTCTCTTATAGGTTATAGCCCTGTGACTGCTGGTGAGAGAGTTTTGGTGCCCTGTGCCCAGAGGGGTTTGGCAACCCTGTGTAGCACAGTGTCACAGAAGCTATGCATATGGTCTCTCCAGCATCTCTGGAGCTGATCTAATCTACTCCAGCTGACCTGAATGCTTCCTGTAGCTTGGTCCCCATAGGCCTTTCTGATCTGTTGGGGCATGTGTGTGTGTGTGTGTGTGCAGGGTCTCACTACGCAGCTTGGACTCATAGTGATCCACCTGTTTTCAGCCTCCCCAGCACTGGGATTACAGGTGCATGGCACCACACTTGGACTCAATTGCCAGTTCAGTGCTCCTGGGGATAGGGCTGGCATGTCATGTGGTGTCAGGGATTAAGCCCTGGCCCCTGTGCTTGCCTAAACAGGTGCTTAGTCTGCTGAGCTATCTCGCCAGTCCTTGATCTGTTGTTCTTATCCTTGCATTCTCTGATGCAGTCACAGTAGTTATGTAGAACTCCACCACCTGTCTTACTTGCTTCGTTGTGCTGAGACAAAGTACCTGACACAGCTTAAAGGAGGAGAGGTTTATTTGGCTCACAGTTTGTAGAGATTTCAGTCCATGGTGTTCTCTCTTCCTGGTGTGTCTTCCCTGTTCTTCTTCACCTCTGAGTTAATGAGATTAAAATTGGAGTAGGGAGGAAGAAGGACAGTTCATCCAGTCCCCATTAACCACTTAGTACAGAGGCCGGGGAGCCTGCCTTAAAACAAATGAAGCAGCTCACAGTGTGGAGACCTGAAACAGAAAGGGAAAGAGGGAGGAAGCAGGAAATGAGCCATTTCTGGCCACACCCCCAGTGACCCACTTCTTTGCCTCCCAACATCAGTTACCTATAAACTCAGCAGTAGACCTATGTACTGGTGAGTATCATGCCTTTGTGATGCAATCCTCTCCCCAAGGTCCCTCCCATGAGCACAAGAGGCTTGTGGGACCTCTGAACAGAACCGTAATACCTCCCTCAGGTTGTTGCTTTCTCCTTGGGACATGGTGTTCTCTTTTTCTGGTGTGTCTTTCCTGTTCTTCTTCACATCTGAATTAATGAGATTAAAATTGGAGTAAGAAGGAAGGAGAAGGACAGTTCATCTCATTCCCCATTAACCACTTAGTACAGAGGCCGTGGAGCCTGCCTTAAAACAAATGCCACCTTGTACATTCTGGATTGCAGTATGCTGGTAATGCCATTGTGTCTGCTAGTGTGACTGTTCCTCAGGAAAGTAAAACCAGAACTCCTGTAGGTACAGCCATCCCACTGCCTGGCGCACATCTAGAGGAGGTGATCAGTGTTGGGAGAGATACCCCATACCGTGTTCACGGCCATGCTGTTCACAACAGCAAAGACATGGGGTCAGCCCAGGTGTCCATCGATGGATGAATGGATAAAGTAAAAGTGCTCTTACACCCAGTGGAATATTATTCAACCCAAAAAAGGATGGAATCCTTTGCAGCAGTGGAAGACATAGTATAAATGGAATAAGCCAGGCACTGAAAGACAAGTGTTGCCTGTTCTCATTCATCTGTGGAAGCTAGAAAAATCGGTCTCAGAGAAGTGGAGAATAGTTGTGGTTGCCAGAAGTGGGAAGGGGAGGTGGGAGAGGCTAGAGACATGATGGATAACACAGACCCAAGCTCAGAGATAGGAAGAATGAGTTCTAGTATCCTGTAGCACAGTGTGGTAACTAGTGTACAATAATTCATTGCATATCTCAAACTAGCTAGAGAGGAATTGGAAGAGATGCTAATTACCCTGATATGATCCTTATACATTGTATGGATGTATTGAATTATCACATTGTACTCCATAAATGTGTATAATTATGTGTCATTTATCAAGATTTCTGTAAGTACCATACTGAATTAATAGTGTTACCAAATGTAGGAGAACAACAAGAAGCCTGTTTAGATAGCTACAAAGATCTCAAGGCAGACTCCTCTCTTGCTCCTGCAGTAGACACAGCTCATGGCCCAGCCTGCCCATGGCCTACCTGGCTCTGGGCCTCCTGCTTTGTCTACAGACCTAAAGGGAGACTCTGGAGAGTTGGGTCAGATCTTAATCCATGGTGGGGAGAAGCAAGTTGCCCACCCCAGGACTCCTTCCCTGGGGGAAGCTCAGGCCTTTCCTGCAGCTCCCCCACCCCACAGGCCGCGCTTTCTGGGCCCAGCCCTCCCAGAGCACAATGTCAGGAGCAGGGACTTCCTTCTCTCTGCTTCCTTCTCAAGCATCTGTGCTCAGGAAATGGTTCTTTTATGGCACAACTTAGCAACATAGAGTGTGGCAACAAATCTTAGTGATAAAACCTCTTGAGCTCTACAGCTCCTGCCTTAGACTAGCTTCTTGTCCAGGCCCAGCACTTGCCAAGTATATATAAACTTGCATTTTATTCTCCTTCTTCTCTCAGGGCAAGAAAATCTTAAGTAAGCCTTTAAGAAATCACCTCCATGTAGCTGGGATCCCTACTGGAACCCCTCCTGAGTTCTGTGCCCCTCTCCCAGCTAGGTCGGAGGTTCTTCCTGAGAATCCTATCCACTTCCACAGTAGCAGGCCTGAACCTGTACGTGCAGGCCTGGTCTGTCCCTGGACTTGGTGCTTCTTGCAGGTAGGGACTCTGCTGCTCACTTCTGCAACCCTGCTGTGATGGGTACTGTGTGGAGGAAGGAGGTGATAAGCACGAAGGCAGGAGAGTGGCTTGAGGCCTGTAGGGAGGCTGTGCAGGGCTCCTTTGGGACTCAGGCAATGGGGAGCTGGCTGGCAGAGGAACAGTGCCAGTGGTGGTGCGGTACAGACAGTGCCAACCTGGAAGAGTAGGACCACAGTGTTCCTCAGGTCCACGCTTTCCCAGGCAGTGAGATGCCCAAAGATGCCCACAACTTGACTTGATGCTTTTTTTGTTCTGGCAGATCTGGGAGTCCATCAAGTCAGGTGCTGCTCTTGAAAACCCTGTGCTTCTCAACAAGTTCTTGCTCCTGACATTTGCAGTAAGTAATAGGTGTCCTGTTACATGGAAACTGGTGAGGTCCCCTGTGGACTGGCAGCAGGACAGTAGGACAGTGTGTTCTCTTCCCTCCAGAACTCTTCCCTCACATTATTCTTGGTAGCTGTTATAAAATAGCTTCTTTGATGAGTGGCCAGATAGTGATGGTACCTGCTAATAGTGCAAAATTAATTCATCTCTCCTGATCAGACTGACAGTAGCATGGTTTCTATGACACAGGCAGCCAGCTCCTGTTTCTCAGGATATTATAAAGTTGGGCTGAAGTCTTTGTTAAGTACACTCCTGCAAGGTGCAGTTGCTAGACCCATTGTGTTGACCAGCTGTCTGTCACTGTGGAAAAAACCTAAAGTAACTTGACTCCTGAGGAGGAAAGGCTTATTTGGCTTATGGCTGCAGAGGTTTCAGTCCATAGCATTTGGCCCCACTGCCTTCTAACAGTTCAGCACATCGTAGTGTGAGGGGGGACTTCTGGAAAGAGGAGCTGCTTTCCTCATGGCTGCTAGGAAGTGCAGAGAGAGACAGAGACAGGACGGGCTGGGTCCCAGTGTCCAGGGGAGGCCATTCCCCCAGTGACTTCATTTCCTTTCACCCTGGCTCCTAAGGGCTCTCACACCCCTCAATAGCAACACAGTAAGTATACCTGTATATTCCCTTGTCTTATTTCATTATCTTGCACTTCCATTGCAGTGTTGAAGAGGAATTGTGAAACAGAACTTCTTTACTTGTTCCTAATCTTAGTGTGGAAAATTCTAATTCTTACCATTAAGTACAAGGTTAGCTGTATACATTTTTTTGCAGACATTCCTTATCAGGCAAGCACTTATTCCACTGAGCCATCTCCCTGGCCCCAGACATTCTTTATCAAAGGGAAGAAGTTCCTATTTCTAGTTTGCTAGTTTTTTTTTTTTTTTGTTTTCCATAAATGAGTATTCAGTTTTCTTTTGATTTTTACCTTAATTATTTTAACACTGTTATTGGGTGCATACACTTTAAGAATTGTGTCTTTTTGGAGAATTAACCCACTTATCATTATATGGTACCTGAAATTAATATAGAGAATCTCAATTTTGATAAGTGTTCCTATGTGTGTGTGTGTCTCTGTCTCTCTCTCTCTGTCTCTGTCTCTCTCTCTGTCTCTCTCTGTCTCTCTGTCTCTCTCTCTCTCTCTCTTTCACACACACACACACACACACACACACACACACATACATGAGTGCATATGTGCATAGACAATCCCCAGTTGAAGTTCAGCTCAGGATTTCCAGCCTCTTGTTGGCATGAGAGTGTATCCATAGAGCTATTTCATTCTTCACTTTAAGTGTGATAATTTGATAAATTTCACGAGACATAACCTTTGACCATAAGAAGCTTTGGATGACATGATTTTGCCAGTGTAGCCTGACATAAACATTCTAAACACACTGAGGCAGGTGAAGCTCAGCTGTGATGCTTGGTGGATACCATTTTGTTTTTATTTTGTATGGGGTTTTTTTGGTGGAACCAGGGATTGAACTCAGGCCCTTGCGCCTGAATAAGGCAAGCACTTATTTTACTGAACTATCTCCCCAACCCCTTATTTTGTACATTTTAAATAAACATAATGATAATGTTCATCATAGGGATTTGTACCTGGACATGATGTATTTTTTATGCAATGTTTTCAATTCATAGTAGATTTACATGGCTATAATCCCAGCATAAGTCAAAGAATATTTATATACATTTGTGTGTGTGCAAGTGCGTGCATGCATGTGCATCAAACCGCCTTGTCCTTTGAATGTACATTGATGGTAATGTTCTGTCCCATTATGTTGCATGCTTCAGGTATTCCCTGTTGTAGAAAATGGTGCAGTGAGCACTACTAGCCACAGTGATATTTTTCCTGCTTCATTTATTATGTAATGTTAAGTTCTCTGGAGGGCCCCACAGGCGTACTAACATTGGCATGTAAGTATTTTTTCACCACAGTTTTGTACTTAGTTTTTTTGATACCGGTATCAAACTCAGGACCTTGCACTTGCCAGGCAGGTACTTATGCAGATGAGCTGAGCTATCTCCCTAGCCCCTTCACCACAGTTTTGTTAGCTTTGGATGTTAAGCCTTTTTCATACATTATTATTATAGTCGTAGGTCTTATTTTTCTTTTTAATTTTTTTTTTTTTTAAATCTGTATTAGGTGCAGGGTCTTGGTATGCAGCTCAGACTCTTAGTGATCCTCTTGTCTCAGCCTCCCCAGTGCTGGGATCACAGGCATGTGCCACCATACCTAATTTTGGTGGCTGGCACTGTGCACCTGGTGTTCTGGAGCCAGCATGACATGTAGTACTGAGGATCAAAACCAGGTACTTGTACTTGCCAGGCAGGTGTTTAGACTACTGAGCTGTCTCCCCAGTCCTTGGTCTTGTCTTTCTTCTGCCCGTGTTGCCCCAGGCCCAGGAGGGTAGACGGAGCTCACCCTGAAGGCCACACCACAGGTTTCTAGGTGCAATTTGACATGGAGCATTTGAGTGTAAATCTGAGGAATTTATTGGTTATCTGCTAGGATAGATTTTGATATTGCTAAAGATTTATGGTTTTGTGAGTTGAACATCAGCCCTCCCCAATTCCACTCTTCGAATTTTTGTTAGTAAAACATAATTGATAGTTTGTGTTTAGTCAGAAAAATAATATTAGATCTTCAAGTTTTAAGCTGTTGCCTAGAGTATACTGGCCTTGTTGCCCTTTTTATAAAGCATTCTTAGTCTGGCTTTACAAAAATTTTAAACTCTCTTTTCAAATCTTCAAGCACAAAGGGCTTTATGTTAAATGTAATTGAGATCCTTTGTGTCCTGAAAAAATTCCTAAGAAATTTGAGCCTTTTGACTTTTGAAGATGACCTGATAAAGCTCCTCAGTGTGGGGTCTTTCACCTTGAATCGTTTAACCTTTTGCTAAAGATCACCTATGACAAATCATTTTAGTACAAAGAAGAGTGAATCCTCTCTGGAGTGCTTTCTCTTTCCTTTTTATGGTTTTTAGGCCTCTAAGGACAAGGTACTCCATTAATTTCAATTTTGCGTTTGTTTTGCCATTATGAAAAGGGAACTTTTTCTGTTAGATCAGTTAGTGGCCAAGTTAGAGATTCGAAACTGCTAGATTTTCTCATCTGGAAATTGTTTATATTAAAAATTGTATTTTAAAAAGTATCAACTGTGATTGTACTTATGTGAAAGAGCCAGAACAGGGAAATCCATGGTGACAGATAGTAAGATTATTGATTGCCACAGGATGGGGAAGAGTGGGGAAAGGGAGCTTTGCTGACAGCTTCAGGATTCTTTGGGATAATGAAAATATACAATTTAACTAATTGAATTTTATGATATGTGAAGATTATGCCGATAGAATAGTCATTTAGCTGGGCATGATGATGCATGCCTGTAGTCCAAATACTTAGTACTCTGAGTTCGTAGATCACTGAAAGTTCAGCCTGAACTATACAGAAAAACCTTGTCTCAAAAAAAAAAAAAAAAGGTTGTTTAACATCCATTCAGTTTTTATTCTTAGCAAGATTGAAGAAGATATGTTAATTATCACAGTCAGTGGACACAGGTTGGTAAGGTGGCTGCCTGTGCCCGTAGAAGGCTGGGTTCCATGGCATGAGTGAGACCCTAATTCAGAGCCAAGAGCCCTCAGCCTACAGTGTGGAGGACAGTGCCCAAATCCTGTCCCTTGCATACTTCCCCTGGGGTAGGAGTGGCTGTACTCGGGAAGATGTCCCCTCTTACGTCATTGATATTTGTTTGTGCTTGACACCTGTGACTCTCAGTCTTTCTGACAGGCTGCTCATGTGGGAAGCACTGCCCAGTGCCCAGGGCTGTGACCTATTCATCTTATCATGAGGGTGTTCCATGTTGTGTTTAAGAATCATCGATTTGGGTTTTGTCAGGAAGTTGTTTAGGACAGTAGTGTTATAGAGTCTGGGCATTTCTAGTCTGAAAAATCTCAATTTGGAAATGCTCCAGAGTCTAAAGCTTTTTGAATAACTTCTCAAAACTAGAAAATTCCATATCTGGCCTCATGTAAGAAGTTGCACTTGAAATGTAAGTGCCCAAAAAATATTATATGAAATCACCTTCAGGGGAGGTGTAAATAAGATGTGAATGAATGTCACTGTAATAGTTGATAAATTGTGTCAATTTGAGGAGTTTAAAAGCTTAACTAAGTAACTCAGCATAGAAGACCCGACCTTACTACTCTGGGATGTTGTTCATTGTGTCGGTTTGGGAGGTTCAGAAGTTTAACTGACTCAGCAAGGAGCCAGGGTCCTCACTTTGTAAACATCCTGATCCTGTGGAAGAGGAGGGCACAGAGATGGTGTGAGTGCTGCACCCACGTGAGGGCAGGTAGCCTGTTTACAATAGAAGAAAGGAAAAGAGGCTTGCTCTTCTCCTTATTTTGTTCTTGTTGCTTTTGCCGTCTTCTGCTGCCTTGAACTGGTGCCCCTCTGCTATGCCACCCTGCCTTGGAACCAGCTGATTACTGACTGAAACCTCCACAAACTGTGAGCTAAATAAACCTTTCCTTCCTTAATTCTGGGTGTTGGGTATTTTGCCTCAGCAATAACTACAAAAAAAGTAACTAAGACAGTTGTGTGTAGATTCATGTGTCCTTTCCACAGTAACCCATGATGCAAATATTCCAAAACCTGAAAAAAATCCAGAATCCAAAGCATCTCTGATCCCAAGCATTCCAAAACGGGCTGTATTAGGGAGGTAGAGGTATATGAGCAACAGTGCTTCCTCAACTGTGTGCATAGTGTGTTTGATTGTGAAGAGGATGGACTGTCAGGCCATGCCTCTGAGGGGGTGTGCTACATTGCTTAGACAGTACTGAGGGAAAAAGCAGCCACTTTGTAAGTAGAGTTTTGCTCCCTTCTGCTTTTTGTTTTTTTGTTCAAGTACTTCATCTTTTTCTTTCTCCTGCTCAACTATTTTTATTAGTGCATATTTATTTCCTTTTTCTTTTCCTAAGGATCAGTTTTCTCTCTGTGAGTGGGATGATTGTAGCTACCCCCAGGGCAGTTGTGTGGTAAAGCATGGCAGTGACAATATCAGTGACTTGGTGTACAATTTCTATCAACAAGTATTGCATAGTAGGTTATGGTTACCATTATATCATCAGTGTGTCAGGTGTCAGGGTATGTGGTGATTAAGGTGGACACTGCATTCTGTCAGTTTCTGCTGGAGATGTGATCATTTAACAAGCTGGATGTATTTTGTATTCATTAGCTTTTATCTCTTAAATGGCTGAGAGGTTACATGAATAGATGCTTGTCAACTTAATCATTGGTGATGTTCTCATGTCCCATGTTGTATTTTTTATTCTAGGATCTAAAGAAGTATCACTTCTACTATTGGTTTTGCTATCCTGCCCTTTGCCTTCCAGAGAGCATACCTCTCATTCAGGAGCCAGTGGCTTTAGATCAAAGGTTTTCACCAAAACAGGTATCAAAACACAAGGTGCTGGACCTGGAGAGCTCTATGGTCTAAGCACCTGCCTGGCAAGCTCAATGACCCAGCTTTAATTCTTGGTACTGCATGGTACACTGCGTAGTGAGACCCTGTACCAAATAAACAAGTAAACAGATAGATAAAAGGTTAAAAAAAAATAAGGTGCAGATAAAATTGGGTGGATGTTCAGTAGTTGTGTTTTATGCCTAAGAGAGACAGATGCACCTCTAAGACATGCACCTGGAAAAAATTCTAGAAAAGCTAAGTGGTATTAGTAGGTGGCACTTTTCTTTATTTGCTACAAAAGGGTTAACATTGGTGATTGGTCATTTACAATCTTGAGATTTAAGGTACCTGTCATTTCATGTCATTTTTTACTAGAAGGATTTATATAATTGTCTAAAAATAACTCCATGCTTTCTGTTTGTAGATCCATGCCCTCGAGCAAGCATATGATGGTCTCTGCCAAACAGAAGGAGTCTCGGCTCTGCCGTACTTCTTAATCAAGTATGAGGATGATGTGGTGCTGGTTTCTCTGCTTAAACACTACAGTGACTTCTTCCAAGGTCAAAGGACAAAGGTCAGAGAGACTTTTGAGTGTCTATTACCTGGTTTTAAAAAGTTCATGTTACCATAGATCACTGGAAAATTGAAACTCAGGTGGATTTTCTCAGCCCCACCAGGGTGTTTTGGAGCTGCCTTTCTTTGTTCTCAAACTTGACAGTTCAGGTGGAGTGATTTCACTAGCTGTGTAAATACATCAGAGCTAAGAAAATAAAGCCCCTGAACCGATAGAGAATGCATCCTTAGCTTGAACCCAGCTTGTCTTTTTTTGTTTGTTTGGTGCTGGGGATCATGCACAAGTCATTGTGAATGCTAAGCAGGCACTTCTTCCACTGCCAGGATGTCTTTTTGAGACAAGTTCTAGATATGTATTCTAGGCTGGCCTCAAAATCACTATATATCCCAGTGTGGCATGGAACTTGAGGCAATCCTCCTGCCCCAGCCTCCTGAGTGCTGGGATTATAGATGTGTGCCATCATGCCTGCTATGAGACACATTGTTTTTAATCATTTACATTAACATTTTACTTTTCAGCATTTTATTTATTTATTTATTTATTTAGACATCAGTTATTTTATTTTAAAGAAAAAAAA